CAGCTGTGGCCTTCTATTTTCCCAAAGCTTGTGTGTGTCAGTAGCTATAAGAGACTCTAGTTAACCCCCGCCAAATACAACCAGTACCTTTAATAGCCAACCGGGTATTAGCTCTGCTGCTGGGCTTGGACTGTCCGTGAAGTCCATGTGAGCGCCTTAGTACAGGTTCCAGACGTGTGCCGACTAGGCGGCCAGGGCTTTTAAGGACTTGTCTCGTTTCCTACCTTGCATGGTCGCTCGACCCTTTTGGGGGTTAAATGAATGGGCAGGAAGGAAATGTGGTGGGCTGAGAACCCAGAAGAGTCCTATATGGAAGCCAGTAACTGTGATTCCTTGTGAATTTCAGGAGTCCGTGCGCCTGAATGCTTGGTCAACACCGCATAATTTTTTGGTTTTCTCCCTCATCACCACATCCTTTTTTAAAATTTCCTGGGCGCTGAACCGACAAGGCAATTTTTTTAGCTTGAATGCATGGAGCTAAAGGATTGATGCTAATTTTTTTTCATTTACAATCTAAATTTCTTACATCTTCGACGATAAATCGATCTCAACCGTGTTCGGGCCCATTTTTTATAAGTGATCTCAATATAAAAGCATTTGTGCGTGGTTGCTGGGAAGGTTGCAAAAGTATCTCCAGGCACATCTTGACTCCTACGGCCACAATAGATGCGTGAGCTGGTGTGTTCCAAAAAACCAAAAAATTATGCGGTGTGTCAACACCGCATAATTTTTTGGTTTTCTCCCTCATCACCACATCCTTTTTTAAAATTTCCTGGGCGCTGAACCGACAAGGCAATTTTTTTAGCTTGAATGCATGGAGCTACAGGATTGATGCTAATTTTTTTTCATTTACAATCTAAATTTCTTACATCTTCGACGATAAATCGATCTCAACCGTGTTCGGGCCCATTTTTTATAAGTGATCTCAATATAAAAGCAGTGGCGTATCTAGTGAGCGTTTATTATTGATGGTTTAATTAACAGTCACAGATCCAGAGGTGACACAGTCGGGCGGCACTCGCCTCCTTATTTTATTGATGGAAAAACATTTTCATTTTTCATAATTACAAATTTCGTTTGCTTCCAATGCAGAATCATTTGATAATTCTAGCTGGCTAGACAGGTCTGCCCCAAGCACGACAATTTTGAAACAAATTCAAAACAAATAATCCAAAACAAACAATCCATCGTTGTTTAAATTTTGACAACAGAAAATGACATCGAGAATCCAATGGATGTCAAATCAGTGAAGATTTTGGTCTCACCCCATTCTCACCGCAAAAGCTGAACACACTCTCTGTATCACGGCGCATTCAGTTTTTCCACACGGGGATAACCACGTTACATTTAACTTTGTCATATCAGTATTCGAGTTACAAAAATGGCACGGGAAAAAGTCACCTTTACTTAGTAAAGTTTGTCCCTTATCGAACTGAAATAGAATACTGCCAAAATGCACCTGTCATTTCTCAACATTTCTCAACAGTTTCTTAAAATCAAATGCAAGTACTGACCATGCATTCCATATTTCCCTAGTTGCTGAGCAGGAAAACAGCATGCTATACCGTCTTTGGAGTGACCGTAAAACTTCGTAAGAACATTTGTGAAAACAAAGCAAAATCATTTCACTTAACAAACCCAAGATTAGTAATTAAGATTTCTACTCATAACCAGTGTATATCCGGTTGTTCATGCACATGAATGAAAACTGCAGAATAGGAAGGTGCCTATTCAGAGCTGTGGATTAAACTGTAACTATCCCAGCCAGATCTTGAAGCACTGACAAGACCTCTCAACCCTATCTCTGGTCGGTGTTGTGCAAATGAGGGAGGGTGTGGCTACTGAAACGTGTCCCAACAATAATTTTAGCCATGACTGTAGATGTCTCATGTGCATTTTGCCAACACAAAATTCCGCTTAGCTTTTCAGTTGTCTAATGGTGACCCCATCGATCTTTTTCTGTATAATAATATAGCCAAAGTGGAGCTGACGATTTCAATGCCTCCTTGTGTAAGAGATACTTCAGTCATGGACGGATATGCCATAAGATTGAAAATTCATCGCACCGCCGGTCGCACCGCATTCTAGAAAGCGCTTCAGGCATTACACGATGTGCCTTAATCAAGCTACGTGGAAGCTGATTCCATGCATAAGCAGCGAGAGAATCCAACAAAAAGATGAAACCGATTAAAAAGACATCTGTCGATACCTCCATCAGAAGAAAATTAGGCTACTTTAGGAAAGAGAAGAGAGAGGTACTCAGGTGGATTACAAGGTCCAATACGAATATAACTGTTCAAATTGTGCTGCCCAATGAAGGAAATACACGTTGGTCACCATAACACAAATAATTCAAACTTTGGAACAAGATGGAAGTTTATTTCATGGTATATAGGGACAGTTAAGTTGCGTTTTATTAATGCCAAAAAGTTAGGGGTGTAAACCCCTGTCGCCCTATTGCTCCACGGCAAGAGTCGTTTGGTGTGAATAGAGTTGTAAACAAGCCTTTTTGTGCAGCAGTCTCGCCAAGTTAATAATTTTCAAAAAGGCTTTACTCCTTGGATGGTGTGCCGTTGTGGTTTCTTTCCCGATTAGGCAGGCACAAACACACACACTGAATGCGACTTTTGATCGTTTACGATTCAACTTCATTCAGTATTGACTCTTCCCACCGTTTCCCGTAGACCTTTTCAATTGCAAGTTGATAAGGGATATAGCCCTCATTATGGACGAAATACACAGTTTTCTGGAGTGCTGTGAAAACACGGACTGCATGTGACCTTAGACAAAGATTAATAATTCACGCTCAGAAAACAAAGTTGAGCCCCTCTCCAACCACGCTTAAGCGTACATCAAATAAACAAGAAATCAGCGTCTTGTTATATTTGAATGTGATTCATTGAATTGTGATGTGGGTGCATATTTCTTGGAGGAAAAAACAGGAGTTACAAATAATACAAGCGCTTATACGAAGCGTGACTGAGGATTAAGACTACATTGTGAAGGTTTTAACTGTGGTCAGATATTTCCAGAAAATACCTAGTTTTGTATAATTACTGGACTCAGCTGTAAAGCTAAACCCTGTAAAGCTCGGTTTGATTTCATTCCCTGAATAAAGTATAAACGAATTCTAGAATCCTAACCCTTTTAGTTTAAGATAATTAACCGAAAAGGTGAAAAATTCCAAGTTTGCTACCTCAAACATAGCTTTTTCCTGAAAGATTTTATAAGGATTTGTAAATGCCAACGGCCGAAAGCTTTGTTTCTCAATTACTGAATTTTGGCCACTAGCTACCATTCAGCATTAGGATTAGGATAAGGATTAGCACAGCAGGTTACAACTTGATCACTAATGATGTTCCTCAATTGGCAAATTTTAGGATTGAGAATAACTCTGTCATTTATTTCAAAAATAAAGTTTAAATCTATGAAATTTTTGGTAATGGGGGTATGCGAACGAGAAGAGAATGTGCTTGAATCGAAACCAATTTGTCATTTATGGCACGTCGCTGTTGTGGAGCAACCCTCTTTAATTGCTTATGAAGTTCCCGTGCGTTTGAAGTCCAGTCGTGGCAGGAGTTATTCATTGATAGCGTGCAGCATTGAACCTTGAACAGGTAGCCAACCAGCTGGGTCAGGTCACTCAGCGTCGTGGGCGGGGAAACAAATGCCGGAGTTGACTCGGGGATTGGGTTAACTCCGTGAACCTCGCCTTACTTCTTTAACCTCATGTTCTCTCATTGAAGAGCAGATCCAAGAGACCTGTCGACGCTTGCGTTTGCTTTGCAAATATGAAATAGTCAATTTTCCAGTGTGGGCAGTGACAGGCATGGTCTCAGAATGGCACTTAAGAGATCAGAATATGTTTTGAAGGTGGCAATTTTTAGGCGTTATTTTATGTAAATGCCAACTGAACTTCCGTGGAAATCTTGCAGCTAGGCTAGATACGGCTGCTGAATGTGGATTAACGTATTTGTAAATGAAATTTGGATCAAATACGCTGTGCTTCCACTTAACCTCGAGCCGCAGTCATTTGGGATATTTTGCTAGAAATCAACTAAGTAATCAAGTTGCCTCACTATATTACACTAGTTATTAGGTTTTCCATTAAGTTTCTTGGACCCAATCAAGAAATTGCTCAAACAGAAGAAATTCTTGTTGTCGAAAAATACGTTATTCCCAGGAAAGCCAAAAGGTTATCTTTAATTAAAAATGGTCACCTAATGACTCTAACCTCATCTCAGTTTGGATGAAAAACTGTTTTCCGGTTGGAAATGGAATTGGGGTGGTACCCCTTAATACCGGAGCTGCACCTTTGCAGATATCAAAATGTAATTGATCATAGGCTGACATTACATAAGAGGGTTTCTTCCCACTCTCTCAACAAGGATATATCGTGTGCTCATGCGAAATAAAATAATGTCAGTGAGGAAGTGCTGATAGAACAAATAATTTGGAAAGTCACAAACAAAACCATCGCAGGGACGTCTCCGGGTGGCAACGCTGACGTTATTTCGAGTATAGCTGAAATACGGACAATGCGAAAGGACATTGTCCATCTCAATAAATTCATTAATTTTTCCAAACATTAACTCAGGCACATCATGGTTGCATACACGCAGGTAAGAAACAGGGAGCTGTACTTCAGAGAAATGAAATCATGCGAGAGGGCAACACACATTATTACAATTCGTTATTTCTTTCAAAATGACCGATATGTCAAAAAAAGAAAGAAGCTTTCAAGGACACGCCCTCCCTCATGTGGATCAAGCCACAAAAAATGTATACGCTCAGGCTGAAAAATAATCAAGATTCAGTTTGGACATTTACAAAATTTAATCCGCCGCTTTACATACGCACATGGAATAAAAATTGAGACCAAACTGAAATTTTACAAAACCTTGACAGAAGCTTGCGAAACCTATACGGAAAATACTAGATAATTGGAAGAGGAATTATAATATTTGGACAGGAAACAATGATTGGATACCAAACGCCACTAATCTTAATCATATTTAATTTTCTTTTCCCTTCAAGTTTTTGACTGATGAATCATCGAACAGGGTATCAAAAGCCAACATGATCATAATACATGGAATTGTTCAGGAATATTGCTAAATTTAATGGAGACTCAATACCGTACTGAATGTAGCCAGGAGGATATTATTTTACTCATTCTGATTCCTCGTGATCAATCTAAGCTTTTTTCTCTCCCGAGGATGGCTTCAACAGTATCTGAAAAGTGAATGGAATGGACTGTACCAACAGTTTGGCCACATAGTTTAGATTAGAGTTCAGCACTTTTAGCTCAAACACAGGTGCCCCTTTCTAGAACCTTAAATTTCCTTTCGAACAAACTCCCAACATAATTAAAAGGCAGGTGCCTTTCATGACACATTCTTAAACTGCGTTCCTTTTATATCAAACCAAAATTACAGGGATTTCAGATCCACACAAACCTGGCAAAATCTGAAATCGAGATTTTTTTCTTTTTTCTTGTTTTAAAGATGGCCGTTCCTATTGCAGAGTTTTGACCTACGGGATAGCTGTCCTGGCGGTATGTGGTATCTTGTCCACATAAAATGAAAAAAACAACAACCTCTTTTGCCTGGGTTTGAATCTGTATGATATTGTAATGCACAAGTTCGGTATTCAAAAGCGCATGCCCAAATGAGGCGCGTCCGAGGTCATTCGGGAACGGCATTACTCGCATGCGCAAGATCTACCCCATCAGCGAGACCATATGCCTTATGCGGAACCGCACGCATTTTGTTCTCAAATGACCTTGTCATAGCCTCATTGAAATACCAAACTGGCTGCTCATAATCTTATTGTACGCTTAAACTTTGTCGTAATAGCTTTTGGCAATTGTACCATCAGCGTCCAGGGTGACCACCATCTCATTGCCAACAAGCTCCCGAGTGGAGCCACCGCTCCCGCCTACTTTCTTCAGAACCAGCTTGTCTCCCTCCCAAGCCGTGGTGAACTCCATCTCCACGCCCGGCGCTACCGTGTCCTTGTGGTTGGTGCCCACGGTGATGGTCACCTCTTTGACCTTGTCGTCCTTGTTGTTGGTGGTCTTGATGGTGATGGTATTACCGCTCTGGGTGATCTCCTCCGTGACTTTAATGTCGGGTGGGATCTTATCGATGGGAATGTTAAACTTGGCCAGAAAGGCTACCCATCCTTCTTGTTTTCCAGACGAGACCCACTTGCCACTAAAGTCTGCGGGCATACTGCGCGGTAGGCTTTATCTGTCAAGGGAAAAAGCATATACGTGCACATTTGCAAAGACAGCAATGAAACAGTACAGATGTAGAGCACCATCACGGAAACCTTAGGTCGCCCATTCGTGTTCTTCGAAAACAAATTTTAAACTCACCGCTCTCAAGAGAGAAACTGGGGAAAGGGCTGTTGTTTGCTGAACGGCGAGGACAGACAGATAATCGGCTGGCGAGCTGGCGGGACGTCTCAATCTGCCAATCCAACTCCAACTGGCCAATGTCTATCTTTAGCCATTCCCCACGTGATTTGTCTGAACTTTAACTTCAAGGTCTCTGATGCTGGCAGTAAAGATAAAATGAAATCAATTATACCACTTTGTAGACACACTGTTTGCTTTCTGGGGTCCCTGGAACTGAAGTCCAGATGGTAGTTTTATCAGTATAATGATAAGATTACTTGTTTTTTGTGGTTTCAATAACCTGTTTTTGTTCAGTGTGTTTCTAGGTTCTTATCAATTTTAGTGTAGAAGTGTCGCTCGGATTTACTCCGGTTGGACTTGGCGTTAAGCACCTCCTCAACACATTTTCAGAGATTTCCTGTCACATGTGGGGGGGAGGACGAAAGCTCTGAAAGCTCAGTACAGCCTCCATCCTGCTAGAGACCGTGACTCTGGCAATTGTGGAGTACGGTGGTACAGGCTAAGGGTGCACATTGTCACTGACTTGAAAGGTGTGGGGGATGATTATATTGGTAATCCCCCAATTCAAAAAGTAAGGTGGGGGTAAATCCCCCACCCCCGGGCTCCCCATCCGTGGCTTAGCAACCAAACCACCAAGTGCATTGGCAAATTTAATTATCACGACAAGGCAACATATTAACATGAGAACTTGAACGCCTAGAGGGGAGGAACTTAACAGATTCTGTCACAATAATGTTGCAACCTACAAAGCTCGTTTTGTCTTTGCCAATTTGGGTTGGGTGGAGGCACGCGTTTCACCGTAGATAGAACCAGCAGGCAAAGCAGGCACTGTGAAAAAATCGAGGGTCTACAAACGACCTGGGGGCCTATTATAAAACCACAGTGTACCCAAAATCACATTCACCGCCTCAAATGATTTATCAAGTTTTTACAAGTCCCCCCAAACGCCTGTTTGCTGCTTATGAGGAAGTTTTCCCACTTAAAGGGATTAGTCTCTATATTGAGACATACTTGAAAACGTGACCTTTAATAAGTTCAACCAAGACGCTTAAGATCTTAACAATGAATTCGTTTTTATTTTTGCACCCAAGTGGTTTGGATCTTTTCTTTGTAATCCACTTTTGCCCGACTAAGATTTTATCGCTGACCTATTTCCAAAAGTCATTAGAAGATATGGGCTAGATCCTGGTCGAAAAGTACATTTCTGAGCTGGTGTGACTTGCAGAGAGAGTTTAGAATTCTGTCGCACAAAACTGGGAGATAGTGGTGTGTAACACGCCACACATGTTTACACCAGCGATTGTGTCATTTTGCTTTTCGTCCCTCTAGATTCAAGTTTGATAATAATTGTAGTCTACGCCATGAGTCAACAATTAATAATTATGGTCCAACGAAAAATGGTATGACCATGTCACTTGAGTTAAACTATCGTTTGGGCCCCATATCCCGGTCATGGTTGTTTCAGATAACGGGTGCTTTACACCCCTACCCAGACTTTGCTTTGATTAATTACTTTTCGAAGACCTGACTGAAGTTCATATAAACAACTGAAAGATGAAATGTCAGATCTGATTAGCATCTTTGGTTCTTACCTGACCTGGTGAACTTCAAGCACAGTCCCCAGAAAACACAAGCACAAATTGTAATTGATAACAATTGCTTTGCAACGGAAAATAATTATAACTTCATTTCCTTTGACAAATTGCGCTGGTCCTTGTATGCCAGTCCTGTGGTACTTTTTCCCTCTTTTATAATATAAACGAATCCCCTATCTTGAGACTGTAAAGGTAAGACACTGGGGGCCACTTTATCAAGGGCACCAAAATCGGGAATTTAGCAGAGTACTTTGCAGCAGGCTCTACAAATCCACCCTCAATGGAGGAAGATTACCAATTGCTCAGCAGTGTTAGGGGCCTTTCAAATTTTGATGTTTTTAAATTTCCTCTTTTTTCGAACCTGTTTTGACCCCCCACCCCCATTTTCGATTAAAAACTGATTTATCAAAGAGCCCAGCGACAGTCAAACCGAAAATCGGTTTCACTGAACCGCTGAAAATACGTGTCCTGAGACCTCGACATAAATATTTGAAATTAAAAAGATACCAACGCATAAAGAGCATCTCATTTTGTGAACTATTCTTGCGAATATATTTCTGTATTTTTTATCCTTTCATGTTTTCGGGTTGACGAAATTCATAAAGTTGTATGATGTCGCATGGGCACTGGCTCCTGTCCACTCCATACCGTCCTCGCTCCCTCAAGCGGTACGAACTACTTCACTGTGCATGCTTCTCGTTTGCTTCCACCTAACTTGTGTGATGCAAGTTACTTCACGTTTGCTTGAAAGCCTGCAGTTGCAAAGTACCATTTAACATGACGGCCGTTTTATATTTTTAATTTCATGCACCCTCGTCTACACAAATGGAAATTTTGTTTTAGACGACACGTACATGCCTTCGAGGTCAGATTATGCCATGTATGCTATTATGAGGTGATGGACCCTGTGCACTGATTTTACTTAGCATCGACGTTACGCATTCAGCCAAAAAAACACCTTCACCCGTAGAGTTTTACACCTTACATAATACGCAGGACATTCTACCGGGTCGTTCTACCGGAACTCGGAACGAAGTTGACAGAGATGTCCATGTGCACTTACAGATTGCTGGCGCGCATAACGATCGTTTTGTCTGTCTTTTTATTTTATAGAAAGGGGAATTTGGATTTTTAAAATTTTACCTGGATCCACCCACCCAAATTCCAAAAAATATATAGAAAGATAAAAACATCGATAATTTTGAATGGCCCCTTAACCTTTTTTTCTTTTTCCTCGCTCTCACTCTATCCTTCCATAAACTTCACTGTTCTCATCCTAATATGAAAAAAAATGCTAGATGTTGTCGTGCAGGGAAATGCTGAATTTTAAGACATAATTACTTCATGTTGCTTTACAGTAATAAGAATCACTTCACATAAAATTATTAAAGACAAAAGATGTCGGCACAGAGATATTTTGCAGCACTTATTGCACGCTTTATTAAACCCAGCAAATTTCAGAGTGTTTTACAGAGAGTGAATAAACTTCAGCTAACTTTAAATTTACGAAGCTTCAGGACAAATTTGCTTGGAAATTACTAAAGTCATGCAGTGACGGAGAAACAGTGGAGGGCAGGGGCGGATGCACTGGCTTCTCTAGCTCTTTTCAAACTCACGTCAAGGGTGTTAGCAAACTGACATAATTACATAGGATTTTAGTAATGTATTATTTTGCACCATTTCCGATGATGCAAATGAAGCAACTATGAGGGAAGTTTAGTTTCCATTTCTTTTTCTGAGGTAAAAGATCGTGACTTGTTACAGCACTTGTATTACTCTGCTTTAGGACTCTCTTACTAAAAGGTGACAACGGTCAGTTCAAAATGACAGCATGTTCTTAATAAACTGTCATAATCGTGGCTGCCAAATATTTTGAAGAGTGGTCGTCCCTCGTATGAAGCCACTGTAAACATTTTCATTGAACGCGCTTGGAAGACAGCCACCTGATCTTGTTCTAAACGTTTCAGCCTAGCAATACGACTTCGGTTTGCATGACCAAAATGACCCAAAACCGTGCTGAAAAAGACCTTGAAAGATCCTTATATTATGAAGGTCTATTTCTAACTCTGTAAGTTTCAAAATCACCGTCTTTGCATTTTGTAGAGTTCAAGAAATCAACCAGTTTATCCATACGGCGACAAAAGGTTTTGTAATTAGCACATTATCACATTACGTTTACAGGTAATGGTGTCCAGTGTAACTTCATTAAATTACGATAATGGATTGTTATAATTCAACTAAACAACCTTTTACAGTGCAAAGTGAAAAAAATTTCAAAACTTCAGAAGGACTCAAAACAGATCAATTAAAGAAGCACAAATAGCAAGCGAGTTATGATATTAAAGATTTAAATTGACTAACGCCAGATCTTTGCTTGCCGGGCGAAAGATTTCTGCTCTGGTCTGTTTTGGTTCAATATTTGCTTAATGAGAAGTATCAACTCGCTGTTTGCAGTTGGCTGCCATGTACGAGATGCACTAAAATGCTCTGGATCTCCTCGTCCAACTGTTTTTACGAGGTCGGATATTCTAGAAATGAGTGTACTCGCCCTCTTTTGCCCGGACTTGGATCTGCAGTTGAATGCCTACGCCTTATTGTAGGTAGATTTGGCGACCACTCCCTCGTGGGTAAAGGTAACAAGCATGTTACCCCCGCTCAATTCACGGGTCACCGAGCCCTTGCCGTCGATTCCTGTCATCACCAGCTTGTCGCCCTGCCAGGCCGTGGTAAACTCAAGCTCCTTGCCGCCCCCGATTGTGTCCTTGAAGTTTTGGCCCACGTTGATGGTGACTTGTTTGACCTTGTCGTCCTTGTTGTTACTGGTCTTGATGTTGATGGCGTCCCCGCTCTGGGCAATTTCTTCTGTCACCACTATGTCGGCCGGGAACTTTTCCACTGGCACGCCGAACTTGCCCAAGAACTTGTCCCAGCCCTCGGATGCGCCAGAGACCCACTTGCCACTGAAGTTGGCAGGCATGATGATTCAAATCGGAATTTTCCTGGTTTAAAGGAAGGGAAGGTAATTCAAATATCAGCTGCAATTTCAGATTATTGAAAATGATAGCACAGAAATTAAAACCTCCAAAACAAGTGTAACGTGTTGCTGGGAACTCACCTATACGAATGGGCAGAAGGCTTGAATGTCAGGCAAGGTCTGCTGCTTGGCCGCAAAGGAGACTGACAGACTATGTTCGATTGCTTTTTATTAATTTCTAAGAACACTCCCCACGTTTCCCATTGGTCCACAGCCTGGCGTTGTCTGTGACGTGATGCACTTTGGCACCGATAATCACTCATTACAGGAATATTTAAATTAGCGCCAGTGTCTTAAACGGCAAAATGTAATCCTAATTGTTTGTTCTCGCTACTGACCTTTCTGATATGATTGTAACAGGCCTAAAACTCACATCATTAAAGATAAAATCGGGCCCCGTTTCTATTTTACCCCCTGGACAACAATGAAACATTTCATGCATCATCTCATAGATATGACGCACACTGCCATTGGACCGTTCACAACTCGATACGGTGCTTGTTGTACATAGCTGACGAAGATAATATGATTTTTGTTACATCTGACAGGTCTTTATCATCCAACCCAGAAAAGCCCTCTGTTTTTTGAAGGTGGAAATTTTCCCTGTATGTTGTCTGGGCCAAATGATGTGCCTAATACTTTTTAGTCGAAGGAAACAGTTTTAATGTGTTAATTAAACAGCGAATCCACAACGTCGTTTTGCAGCGCACGTTGCTCTTAGTTGCAAATTCTTAAACTCGGGAACCACTTGGGGGCGCTGCATATAATCTTAAGTTGCCTGACTGCCGTTATACCATAGAGCCGTTCTTGGCCGCTTGATCGGGGTACATGTATTTGTTTGAAGTTGCGGAAAGTCTAAGGAATGGGGACACAAAACCATTCTGGAATTTTAGGGAACCCTCTTTAAATTCTATGGTACTCATTTCCAACTAACCCTATTTTGGGCTCCCGACCTGGAAAAAAGCCTGTTTTATCTAATGACCCAGCCTAGAGAACTTCGCTTTGAAAAAGTAGGTTGTGATGACCTGTAGAAAATCAGCGCTGAAAAATATACGTGAACGATACAATTTCGCCCGAACATCAACGCAGCGACCGTCGAATTCCACGCTACGGCATTGCTGCCAGGCAGAGCAGTACCGTACCACACCCAATGTGCTACGCGTACGAAGCGTTGTAAGAAAAGCCGAAACGGACGCTCTCCCATGCTCATGAATTATGTACATGACACACTGCAGACACGAAAACCGTACGAAGTCTTGACACAGACTCAAACGGCTGCAGGGTATTGCGTTGTTTACCAACTGTACAAAGCAAGTATATATTTCCAAAAAGTGAAGTTTTTCTTTCAGTGTTCGTTTTAAGAGATATATATTTTCCAAAGATCGTTTTTTCGATGTACATATGTTCTCCAGTTCGTTCCCGGAAGATCTATAAATAGAAAAGGACGAGATATATTTTTCAAGTTTGTTTTTATGATTTTTTAAGTTCGTTATATTTCTTTGTAGTTTGTTTTGGGGAAAAATAAATCGGGACCGGGCAAAAAGCAAACTGCATAGAAAATATATCTCGTAAAAATTATATGTTTCCAGAAATAGAAGCAAAGTTTCCAAGTGTAGATCTATATGTTTCGAACCAACGAACTAGGGAAAAATACCCCGTACAAACGAAGTCGAACAAATTTATCTCCTACAAACGGACATAAAAAATATACTTCACTTTTTGAAAATACATGCTTGGTGGCTCTACAAGGCTTTAATAGAACAAAGACACTTGTGGTACTCAGTTGCTTCAACTAGATGTGAGACTGTCAGTGATGCCCTGGATGTGTGGTTTCTTGGAAAAAAGATACAGGTGCATACATGTTCGCTCAGCTGGTGAACCAAGTTGGGACCTCATCCGAGAACCTCGGCAAGGAATATCTGTCTTGAAATATGTAAATGATGTCACAATATTTCAGAACGGTGTGCTTAATGAGGATAGCGGTATGCAAGCTACACTGAATGATTTTACTGATTGGTCCAAGCGTAACAACATGAAACGTAACCCATGAAACTTAAAATGTGCAGTGATGCAAGTATTTTTTATGAAGTCTCCCTTCAGATCAATTCCTTTGGAGATCTGCTCATAGCAAATGCAAGCTGTTGAACGTGTAAGAATCCTAGGCATTCAAGTGAGCCATAACCTGAAATGGAATAGTCGTATACCTGAGCTACTCAGTAAAGCCATTCCCAATTGTATTATGTTGAAGGTTCTAAAGAGATTTAATCTATCCACGTCTGACCTCATGACCATCTGTACGTTTGGTCCTAATTAGAATATGCTGTTTCAGTATGGAATGCAGGGCTAACAACAAAACAAGCTTTTAGTTGGAAAGAGTCCAGGAGCGTACCCTCATAGAATTATCCTAGGCTTAAATTACACATCATAATCATAACGCGCTGGACAAAGTCAGTATTCATGTACATGTATAAGTACCCTACAACAGCGTTGAAAAGATATCTGCTTTAAGTTTGCTACTCAACTTGTGAAGTCCAGCAGGTTTAAAGATTGGTCGCTTAAACAACCTGGGGATCTAGGGATCAGGTTATTGGCCTCTTCAATACTAAGTAAATACATTACTAGCATCTGTCCGTTTTGCCGGTGTATGCAAAGTATTCCTTTATTTTGTTTCATTTTGTAGATAGTATGCACATGTACAATAATTTTTGCGGTATTTCAGTCAACCTTTGTATGTGCATTTATGCTTAATGATGGTTGACATGATTTAAGAATGGTAACCATTCTCAAACTGTAATTTTGTCTGATGCAACAAAGAAATCAAACAAGCTCACACCAATATAAGAAATAAATAAACAATTGTGATTTAATGAGAGTGTTACACTTAGCTTGTTAAAAGTAAGGATAACAAAGAAAAGTGCTGAAACGTTTGAGAGTTGTTTACATGTATCTTGCATGAATGTTATGTAATGCAAACCTATATTACATATGCTTGTTCACAGTTTTCATGGAGTCGAAGGGGTCCAAGGAGTGGAACTGATTGTTGTACTGTATAAAATCTCCTGTGGACCAGAGACTTCTGTCGAAACCCTTATATTTCCCTGCACACTTTGTAACTTGCGAATTCTACAAACCCCCTAATAGCGGCGTTACCAATGAACGCAGAAACTGTTTGTTAAGTTCAAACTCATGCATACAATCAAAGAAGCGCTGTTGTTATAATACATACATGTAGTTCTTTAAATGTTCCACAAGTTTATCACATACTGACAAAAGAATCCTTTAAAAAAGGTTATTATTAACCAAATAACCTGCATTTACATTCAGCTTAGTTAAGAACTGCAGTGGGTTAAGCATCCACAAGTTTCCTAGTATCGCAAGCTGAGGTAATTTTAATATTGCAAAAAGGGCCATGCTCACACACCGTACATCATGGTCTTTGTGATGCTTTTTACAATTTATGTTTCTGAAATATATCTGAAGTATACACCTCAAGTTTGAAAATAGAAATTTGTACCTGCTGTAGGCCCACATTATGGCAGATTCAACACAACAGCAGGAGTCTGCACCCACCCCCACCTCGTTTCCACACCAGAAATTAATTCTGACAGAAACAGTTACCGATCAACAACCCTCCGTCGAATTTGCATCAATCCTCAGCAACCCACAGCTACTAAGTCCGATAAAGGATCATATCCTGAGTGAAGAAAAATGTTTCAGTCGACGTTCCATGGCGACAAAAGCTTCCAGACAATCCTCAAGAGGCTCTGGAACATCGATTATGGCAACACTTGCTGCTCAGGCGGCTGCCTTGAAAGCAAGGCTTGAGTATGCGGACATTGAGGAAAACAGAGAGCAGAACTTGAGCGCCAACAGTTAAAGCTCAAGAAGATTCAAACTTTGACAGACTTGCATGACACAGAAGCAAGATTAAAGGCAATCGAACAAGCTGAACAAGAAGAATATGCAGCCGTCGTATCTGACACGGTGGAGGAAACAGAAAAAACTTCGCTAATAAAAAAAATACATCCAATCTCTACCAACCCCGAACACCGATGAGTCCAATGCAAGGTCAACGTCACCTGCAGCGACACCAGAAGCTCGGCGGACAGAAGATAATAGTACATGTATAGCATCACCAGCACCTAAGGGCTGAGTTCGGGCGGCTTGTTCCCGTATATTCACGAACAGTTCGATTTGTTATTCGTGGGTCGGCCGCTCGAACGCCGGGAAGAAACAAACAACATGCAACATGGCGGCGTCCATGTACGTCACTCGAGAGTTAAGTTTTGGATGGGTTGAATTCTTTTCTATATAAACAGGAACATTCATTTCTGTGTTTGGGAAAATAATTAATGTTAATGTTGCAAAACTTCCCATTGTCTACATGGTCTATGGCTTTGCAGCTGTTCAAAAATCAAAATCTCACGGGTTTTAACGTGTGTTCCTGTAAAACCCTGACGAGGAGGTGGTGTGTGATCCTGTTCCGAAAACGGTATTCTTGAGTCGTGTACCCGCCGTTCGAGCGCGAGAACAAAAAACCCGTGTCAAGAACAGAACGCCCGAACTCGACCAAGGAGACTGAAGCCAAGTTGCCTATTGCCAGTGCACAAACTCCACTCAACAATCTCACAAAAACGTTTCTTGAGCAGATCAGCCTAACTCGCCGACCGACACCAGAGCCAGGTGTATTTACTGGCGATCCCCTGAAGTATTGTCGATGGAAACACGCCTTTGAAATATTGATTGAACAGAGGGGTATCCTGCGCTCAGAGAGGCTGTACAACTTACAAAGGTACCTGGGTGGAGCTGCAAAAGAGGCAGTAGAGAGCTATTTTTTTCCTGTCTTCAGATGACGCATTCGACAAAGCAAATGGGAACTTCTTCAGAAGAGCTTTGGCGATCCTTTTGTCATTGTGAATGCTTTCCGAGATAAACTGGAATCCTGGCCCAAGATTTCTCCATGTGATGGCACTGGAATGCAAAACCTTGCTGACTTCCTTGGCCAGTGCCAGGTAGCTATGGAAACTATAGACAGCTTACAGATAGGCCTACCTGACGAAGACAGAACAGAAAAGTGCTGGCCAAACTCCCAGATTGGGTGGTCAAGAGGTGGGTCGGTAGGCTGTGGAGTTCAAAGAAAAACAAAAGAAGTACCATCCATTTATCGACTTTGTGAAGTACATGCAAAT